CCATCTATAGTGATTGAGAGCTTTGCCAGGTATAGTAGTCTGGCTGGCATCCGTGGTCTCTTAGTTGTGGTAGAATATCTATCCAGGACTTTCTGGATTTCAGAGTTTCCATGGAGAAGTCAGGTGTAATTCTGATAGGTTTGCCTTTATATATTACTTGGCCTTTTTCCTTAGCTGCTCTGAATATTCTTTCATTATCCTGTATACTTGGGGTCTTGATTATTATGTGGCGAGGGGACTTTTTTAGTTGTCCACTCTATTTGGTGTTCTGTAAGCTTCTTGTACCTTCATTGGCATGACTTTTTTTAGGTTGGGAACGTTTTCTTCTATGATTTTTTGAATATGTTTCCTGCCCCTTTGAGGTGGTTTTCTTCTCCTTCTTCTATACCTATTATTCTTAGGTTTGGTCTTTTCATGGTGTCCCATATTTCATAGATGTTTTGTGTTAGGGATTTGTTGGACTTAAGATTTTCTTTGGTTGATGAATCAATTTCTCCTAGTGTATCTTCAACCCCTGAGATTCTCTCTTCCATCTCTTGTATTCTGTTAGTTATGCTTGTATCTGTAGTACCTGAATGTTTGCCCAGCTTTTATATTTCCAGCCTTCCTTCAGATTCTGTATTTTTTATTGTCTCTATTTCAGTTTTCAACCCTTGCATTGTTTGAATTATTTCTTGCAATTTTTGCTTTGTCTTTTTGTCCATTTGTTGCATTTTATGAATTTTTTGGTTTGTTTTTTCTTCCATTTCTTGCATTTTTTGGTTTGTTTTTTCTTCCATTTTTTGCATTTTTTTGGTTTGTTTTTTTCTTCCATTTCTTGCATTTTTTGGATTGTTTTTTCTTCCATTTCTTTGAGGGATTTTCCAATATCCTCTTTTAGGGCCTCTATCATTTTCATGATATTGTTTTTAAGGTCATTCTCTTCTGTTTTATTTGCATTGGAATGTTGGAGTCTTGCTGGTGTGGAGTCTCTAGAATCTGGAGGTGTCCTATTTTTTTTTCTGTTCCTGAGTGTGTTTTTGTTTTGTCTCTTTCCCATCTCTTCTTTTAGTGGGTGCAGTATGAGCCCCTTACTGGTCTGGTTGGTAGGGGACCAGAGTTCCCTTTTGTTGGGTGCAAGCAAATCCAATACTCTGATAGTTCTATTCCTGGTCCTAGTCCTGGTCCCGTGGGTGGAGAAGAAGCCCAGGAATCTGGAGTGTGTAGTCTCCCACCTGGTCCCGTTGGTGGAGGAGAAGACCTGGGGATCTGGGGTGCTTGGCTCCCGCTGGGATGGGAGGCTCTGTGGCAGTCAGTAGGCAGTCCCCAGGCACTAGAAGGCAGGCCTGGATGTGGGGCCTTGTTTACCTGGACCTGCTGGTCCCCTGGTCTTGTTGGTGGAAGAGAAGACCTGGGATCTGGGGTGCCTGGCTCCTGCCAGGAAGGAAACTCTCCTTTATTAACTTTCTAATATCCCATTACATGGTTCTAGAGAGAGGCAGAGGTCAGACAGCTGCTTCTCCTGTTGGCAGTGTGGACATAGTGTGGGAAGAGATACTGTGTCTTATGGCCATGTGATGTCACATAATATTTTCCAAAGCATCCCCAAGTTTAGTGGGATATGGTAGCCACAATTATAACCCATACCTTGGAGGTTCTGTACAGCTCACAGAGAGAGTTGGAACTTCTCTCACTACTCTGTGCAGATATGTCTGAGTATGTCTTCTCTCTTCTTTTGCAGAGCAGTGATCACAGACTCTGCATATGGTAGTGTGGGTTATGTATTGACCCCATACATACACACAAGTATGCATGTATATGCATGTATATGCTATATATATGCATATGTTAGTAGAGGAACGTGAATTGGAAGTGGTAGAAGAAAAGAAGGAGAGCCACTAGAAGGGAGTGGAAGAGAATCAGCATTTATTAAACTCCTACCCCACCCAGGCAGAAGGCAGTGGGGGAGCAAGGGCAGAGATGTGCCGCTATCTAGATGCTAACGGATAAGCTTGTAGAAACCTCTTTTCATAAAGAAAGTACTATGAGATGAATTGGGAGCCTGTCAGGGAGCACTTGTCATGACATTCAGAGGGAGAACAGAAGGCTGTAGGGCACTGATTTTGGCTTTGTCTCCCCTAGGTATTGGACTGCTGTCTCACCATGAGACGAGTTATCTTTGAAGTGTTGCTGAGCCGTCTAGATAGCATGACTTAAAAGTGCAAGTCCCTAAACAGGATTCAGCTTCCCGGAATACAAATGCTGAGAGAACCAAAGAGGCTAGGAAAAACCAGCCCAAGACATTTCCCTTAAAGCCCAGGAGAATTCTACCAGTCTTCATGGTTTAAAAGATCCTGGAATGGGAGCTTTCTGGGTATTAGTATCAGGATTTTGGCTTATTTATTTCTCTTTTACTAGAAGGCTGTCAAAGTGTCAGCAATTGCTTTTGATGATGTCTCTAAAGCATCCACCTGAAGTGAAGTGATAAACTCTTGGAAGGGTGGCCTTGCAGAGTCCCTGTTCAAGAGGACACAGTCAGGACAAGCTGAGATTGAGACATGACAGCTAGCCAGAGCTGCGGCAGAGAGCCCTGTATAAGCCTTCGGGAACTCCTGGCCAATTCCAGATTTGGCTGGGAGGTTGTCTTACTTTCCCTACTCCCACTCTCCAGTATCACATGGCAAGTCTTAGGCTTCTCTGCCTTCATTTGCATTTTGGGTAGCTCTCACCACTCAGTCCAATTCTTCATCATGTCCCATAGCCACAGTCCCTGCCAAATCATACTGCAAAGCTTACTCACTGCACATTGGGCACTTGCATGACTTCTTGTTTTGTACTGAATCACAGAGGTTGATTAGGAGAGGCGGTCCAAGCTGATGATTGGAAATGGACTTGCTTCAGTACTCACAGAATGACAGGCACAGGCACAAAGTTTATCCTAGAACGTATACCCCAACAAATCCACACACACTTGGACAAGCCCAATCCATGTAAGCAGACCACCAAACCCATCAGTCAAAGTGATGGACACTTACAGACACGGGAACCAAATGCTTCCCACTAGATGTTTGGATAGTCAATTTTTTGTTGTTGCTTTTAAACAGCAAAAGCTAACTTGTCTATGTACTCTGTCTTCATATCCACCAGAATGAGGGTCCTAAAACAAAACTCTGATTATCCTAACATTAGTCTGACTTTAAGTACTTCTGTAATAACTTTATAAGCTGAGTTATTCATACTTCCCCCAGATTTATGTATTGCAGGTCTAATCCTTAGTGCCCCAGGACTTGATCTTATTAGGAAGTAGGGTCACTGGAGATGTAATCAGTTCAGAGGAGGTTATGTTGGAGTAGGGTTGGTGCTACCTCAATGTGACTCATGTTCTTATCAAAAGAAGAAACTTTGAAGATAGGCTGGAGCCTGGAAGAACCACATAGACATCAACAAACACACAGATCAGCTGTTGTCAAGGAACAAGAGCAAAGATTGTCAGAAAACCCCTGAAACGAAGAAAGAGATAGTACATATTTTCCCCGAGAAGGAGCTAATCATGCCAACACTGTTGTCCCATTTTCTGAACTCCAGAGCTTTGAGGCAATGACTCCTCCTAGTTACTCTAACCCAGTAGTTCCCAACCTATGGGTCATGACCCCTGCGGAATCACATATCAGATATCCAGCATATCAGATATTTTCATTACAATGTATAACTGTCATAAAATTACAGTGATGAGGTAGTAAGCAAGGAAATAATTTTATACATGTGGAACTGTATGAAGGATTAATGCATTAGGAAGGTTGAACAGCAATGTATCCTATTACTCTTGGGATGAAGTTCAACTTCTTACACAATCAGTCTTAGCTTGGAGCTGCCTGTGTGCTCTTATTCCTCACTTGTGTCTCCTTGACTCAGTTTCTGTTTTCTTGTAAGTCCATTCAACTGCCTATAACACATCAGTGAATTTCCCAAGAGACTCTGTCTGTGCCAATTCCTTGCCCTCAGGTACTCTTCCTTTTAAAATATAATTGATTTATTTGTATTTTATGTACAATGGTGTTTTTCCCACATGTATGTCTGTATGAGAGTGTGGGATCATCTGGAACTAGAGTTACAGATAGGGAATTGAACCCGGATCACCTGGAAGAACAGACAATGCTCTTAACTGCTAAACCATCTCTCCAGCCCATCAAACATCCTCCTTAACACTCTTCATCCTCTGCTACATCTGACTTGATACCTCCTTACTATTGTTTATCTTGCTCCCGATTGGACATTGTCTCTGGCAACTTCCTCCTGTCTTTCCCTGTCACAGTCATGGGAGAAGGCCTTATCGGATGCTCCCCACACACTCTCCAGATATTTCTGTCCGAATATGCAGCACACTCTGGGTTGGGTGTTTATCATATGCCTTGTCCTCATCAGTAGCCTCCACAAGGGCTTCTCCCTCGAAGGAAAAGCCACATTCAGTCTCAGCATAGCTAGTAGGATGCGTTTGGCAAAGAATGGCTAAGCAGGTCTTAGTAGAAGGAGCCTATGTATGTTCTTTTGCAGATACACAAACCAATATATCCTCAGAATAAGGGAGGCATTTTTGCTCATGTAGCAGTGAGAAGTTGAATTTTCTTGAAAACAAAAACATCCAATTGAAGATCAAGCAATATTCCACAGTCTTCTTCATCCTTCTCTGTATAACTACTCAAATGCACACGGTTTATAACGCCTTTTAGATGTTAAGTGACTATGAATTATTACCGACTGTAGGTCTTTCATCTTCAAGACTGACAGTTTATGTTCCACAACTCTCAGGAGGGAGAAACTATTATAACTATATTTTTGCTTACCAAGAGAATTGTTAATGGTTATCCTGGAGGGGGAAAATCTATAAATATCCAACCTGCAATGAAGCCTTAAGCTTACTTTCTTCCTTTACTAATGAAATTCTTTCCACGTGCACTGCCAGAGTTACTACAGAACTCCCCCACCAAGAAAGAGTCAATGCTAGTCACCAGTTTTTCTTTTACCTGTTTGGTCCTCAGTTTGGAATCTGATGACAGGTTGTTGTAGGTATAATGTGCTTGTGTGACGCCACAGAAGAGAACAGCAACTATGCCTGAAATTCAAGAGAAGACCAGTCAAAACCAATTCTCTTTCCCAAGTCAAAGGGCTGAAAAATGGACTTGATGTCTGGAGAGGTAACAATCTCAATAATTACCGTGATAATGAAACCATGTCAAATCTTGCTACTTGCTTTAAACAGGTCTTGGAGTTGAAACAAAGAAAAGCATTAAGCAGTAGATTCTTATTAAAATGGAAGTAGTTTCCTCCTGGAGGGAAATGATCCCCTAGAGACCTCATGTGCCCCTTTGCCTCTCTGGCAAAGCTGGGTGGGCTCTCGTTGCAGCTGAACACCAATGGGTATCCCTTCCCAAGCCATGCTCTACTTAAAGGTAGTTGATCTGTCATCTATTCCAGTGTTCTTACCACCAGCCCATGCCTGGCCAGCTACAGGAAAGCATTTCTTAAGCTACATTACTCATGGTTTTAAATGTTACATGAAGTCACACATGCCAGATGCTCTTGGAGAACAGAGAATAGCAACAACAGGACAAATGTGTTTCTTGTTCCTTGGCTCTGCCTCTCTGTTAGTGTCCCTGGCCTGGGTGGCTTTTGGTGAGAGCTTCATTCTACTTTGGATTAAAGATGAGATTAATTAGGGGAAATTGTGCATAGAGGGGGGCTTGGGGAAAAGCACAGGAGATAAGTATTCCTTAACTCAGAACAAGAGGATCGAACTGAATTTTAAGCAGCAGAAGCTCTCCATCTAAAAACACTCATAAATTAAATGCTGATGATTCTTAAGAGTATAGAGCTATGTGAATGGAATACCAGCATTCCAAATGAGCTTGGAATAAAGAGTTTTAAAGGGCTGAGCTTTTTCATATGTAGACTGCATGCATTTATTTACATGCTGGTTATTTTTCAAGTTGGTAACAGATAAAATATTGTTTAAACATGTTTATAGAATAATAGCACATAGCCATTTCCATGGCTTATTCCTTTTTACCATGATGTTTTACATTTTAGATAAAGAATAAAAACCATGTAGGAAAGATTTGTTTTTTAAAAATATATATCTAATAAATACTCCTGGAGATTTTTGGTAAATCTGTATAGTTTCTAAGAATAAAGTATTTTTTACTCTTCACAGAATTTATTATCAAAAACTAACCAGTACCAGTTATGAAGGATATTGAGGGTGTAGGAAGACTGCCATTCATAAATTGTTTTGATATCAAATGTTTCTCTGTGTTTATTTGAAGATATGATGAAGTATTTATCTTAACTAGTTTGAATCAGAATTCGCTGACCCTCTCAATACTGTGAAACTAATTAACAATATATTGATATTCTGGAGAGGACACGAATACATGTGAAGGTGTGGAGGATAGTGAATTGGTTCATCTTGAGAATAAGAATGGCTAAGAGATGCTTTGCAGGGCAGGGGCTCAGCATGGTGGACACAATGGTGCTGGTTTTCTCTCCCTCTTCCTGGCGACTGCATTGCTGTTTTCTTGCACACAGGTTCAGGCTCTTGGTGACTCAGTAGTGCCTCCAGCTGCCTTCCTCTGCTCAGCGTCGTCTTCATTTCCCTCCTTTTCCTGCCCTTGGGTTCACCCTTTACTTCTCCTTTCATTGTATAACACCAAATGCATTCATCGGTTGAGCCCAACCACTATTCAGCTGCTCTAAGCTGATGTCCTTTTCCAAACAATCATCATTTTTTAGTTTGGATGACAGCAATGGCTATCTAAGTGAAGTCCTTGGCTTCCTGGTTGGTCTCTTATATTGTGTTCATACAGGAACAGTGATTATTTAAAAACATTGCAGGTTATGTAAGTCATTTTGCCCAGACTTTGTAATGTATTCCCAGGGTCTAGCCCTCTTCTTGGCTACAATGCTCTGACCTCATTTTTGACACCCTCCTGACTCCTGGTCCCTACTACACATGCCTTGCCACAAGGCCCTTGAACATCTGAGTCCCAGAATTGGGAGAGCTCTTCTCCAGAAAGCCTGATGGTTCCCTCCTTCCTTTGGATATCTCTTCAGATGTCATGTAAACAGCAAACATCCTCTACTCACTTTGTAAAACTGGCCCTCTCATCATTCTCTACCCATCTCTTGCTCCGCGGTCCATGCTGTCCAATGCCACCTAACAGTTTCTGCCTCTGGCCACTAATTCCTAGAGAAGCCCTGGGCACATGTGAGTGTTGTTAATAAATAACTGGATGTTTCTGTCCCCGCGAGGAGGTGAGGGACTAAGTCATTTACTGAAGGTCACTGTGGAAGTGACAGCTGTAATGCACCTTCCCCCAACTTTCTCTCTGCCTTTTTCTGCCAACATCAGGCCATCTAGGAATGCTCTGAAGCGATTCCTGACTGTCTGAAAACTGTCGTTTCTGATAATGCAGGGAAGTGGATATCTGATGGTGGGGATTACACATCTGAGCTGGCTCTCCTCGTCCTTTGAGCAGGTTTTTCCACATCACTCTGTTGGGTTTCATTTCCTTGCCTCCTGTGCAACACTAACTTGCTGCGTCCCGGCCGAATACTTTCAGAACCAGGTGTGTAGCTCCATCGGATGTATAGCAAACCATGAAAGTCATGTGATCAGAAGCTTGCTGCTGCAATTAGCAAAGTAACAAGTTTGATTTGGCCCTTGGTATTAGCATACATGATCATAATTCTATAGCCTGGTAATTAATTAAATCACACAAATTACTATGATTAGAATGACTTTTACAAGCCAAACACATTTTGAAACTGCCTCATCTAAATATATCAACTAAACCATTTTTTTTGGTTGTTTGAGACAGGGTTTCTCTGTGTCATACTCCTGGCTGTCCTGGAACTGGCTTTGTAGACCAGGCTGGCCTCAGACTCACTGAGATCCACTTGCTTGTGCCTCTCAAGTGCTGGGATCAAAGGTGTATACCACCATTGTCTGGCCAGCCACCCCTTCTTATCTATAGTTTCACATTGTGGTTTCAGTTATCTGTGCTCAATTTTGTTCTGAAAATACTAGATGGAAAATTCCAGAAATGCTTCAGTTTAAAATAGCTTTTATTTCAACTTATTATTTTAATTGTTCTTTTGATTTGCATTAGTTGTTACAGATCTCTTATTGTGCCCCTTAGTTAGGCAGTATCCAGTATTCAGGCACAGATGGGTCTTGGACCATGTCCCCTGTGAACAAAGGGGAACTGGAGTATTCCTAACATTTCCCCTCATGGAACAGATTCAGAGTTGACAGGGTTCTGTTTTCTAATGCACGTTTTAATTGTAACGATGATGCTTCTCCACACCCATGCTAGCTAGTCCTTGTGCTACTGTCATGTAGTGCCCTGCACAGCAGACTTAAGCGCTCTGTTTCCGACAGTTGCATGTAAGAGACAGAAGCCAAGGGCTCTTTGAGCTATTCACCCACCAGTGGCTCAGCTCTAAATCTACCTTCCTTCTTGATTCTGATCCCAGCTCCAGGAATCCAAGTCACACTCTCTTGTGGTTGCTCTCTGCTTCTGCCAAGCAGCCCCAGAGGAAGAGCAGCAAACTGAACCCAGGACTCCCTCCTGCCTGTTGTGTTCTACTTTCTGCTCAGGGGCACCTTAGAGTATTTCTTCCCCTTAGTCAGGTCTGCCTCCTTTCCTACTCTATCATTTGCCCTTTATTGCACCTCCTGGCCAGCTGCACACCTCTCAGAGAAAGCAAGTGCAGCCTGGAAGTGTTCCCAGGGCCACAGGCCTAGGATCCCACCTCCAAATTCCTCTATTCGTTTCCCGTAGCTCTATCTAGTCCTGGTGTTCACATTTGCTGTCTAGAATGACATCAGTTCCTTCTTTGACTTTACTAATGCCACACCACCAGGTTACCCAAGTTCCTGGAGTCATCTGTATGTCAGTGGCCTGGTGGCATCTCTTTTTTGACTGTATTTTGAAAGGGACTCTTGGGGCCACCCTCACATTCTAAACTTCATGATTCCCAGAACCCTTGCATTCTTTCCATTTGGAAATAAAATCATCTTGTATTTTCCCTGTTAAAACTAGGACTATGGGGGACACCAAGGTAGATGGGACTTTATGTCTTTGGAGGCCTCAATTCATTTTCTTTTCAGTTCTCTTTATGGTTGGAATAGGTGGTTCTAAAAAGTAGTAAGGGTTTGAGACAGAAAGAAAGTGGCTTGGGATTAGGCACAGGTCAGACCTAGGAACATGGAAGAAGAGGTACAGTTCAGACTTGGGCGTGTCTTCTTATTCCCGGTCCCTTGGCCTTTGCAGGACATTTGTACAACCCCACAGTGGGTATGAAAGTCCTCATGATTGGATATGTTCAGGCTCATGATCACTGCTACTTTAGAAAGGGCTTTTTCATCAAGTGGAAGGTAGTCTCACTTAAGTTCTATGTTTTACTAATTCTGAAACACATTTCATCAACCCTCCAGACTCCTTCAATGTCTGTCCCAAGGACAGAGGCAGATCAGCAGGAGTGACCCACATTCTTTCTTACTGCTATTTCTCATCCCCCACATTGCCTGTCCTCAGCACTCCTGGAATATGCTTAGCTACAGCTTGTCATTGTCACCAGAAGCTCTTTACCCTTCTGGAAGTCCTCTTGTGACCCGGAACCTGCATTAGACAAGAGAATTCTGGAATTCAACCAGAGTTAATGAATATCCAGATCAGCAAGTACTAGCAAACTTCTTATAGTACAGTAATTTTGGAGCAAGGTCCCAAACTCTATATTTTCATATTGTCAGGAGACTTTTTGGTCCTTAGACAAAACTTAGGAAATATTCATTGACCAAAGTCAACTTGCTCTTGGCCTCACAACTTGGCCTTAACTTTGCATGGCCCTAAAATGAGACCTTTGCTTTGTTCTTGATTCTTTGGGAACAACACACTTTTTGTTGTCATCCTTTATTTCTTATTTTATCAATGTCTCTTGCTAATGTGAAGGAAGTTTTAAAGTCATATTTTTGTGTATTTTTTTTATGTTTCTCCTTTTCTGGTTTTCCAGAATCAACATGATCCTCTGAATGAAATTTTTGTTTCAGAG